TCGAGCGCAGCTTGGAAGAACGTGGGACCCGCTCCCGTTTCTCATGAGCTTGTCGGCGAGAAACTCGGAATAGCCATAGTATGCGCAAATATCCTTCAACATTTGAGTGCGGTACTCTACTCTTGATCGACCTTCCTCGGCGAGATTCTTGAAGTCGTCCAGAACGCGAACCGTGTCATTCAGGCGTGTACGAAGAAGCTGGATGTCTTGTGTGACGAGATTCGTCAAAGGTCGTCCTTCTTCATCCTCATCATCAAGAATCTTTGGCCTCTCTCCTGCAATGTTGGTCTGTAAATTTGCTTCCTCCAACTCAGCTTGAGCCTCTGCCTCTTCAATCGCCTTTTGCATGTCGAGTTTCCGTGATAGACCAGCAATGTTTGCGGCCGTGAGCTTCTCCTGAGCTTCATCCTCATCTTCGTCGTCGGACCACATGGCCGTTTTCCGAACTTCGGTATCAGAGTCTACAACGTCCGAGTCAAATTCATCGTCGTCGATCTCGTCGTCATCTTCTGATGCACTACCGAGCGCGTCCAGTCCAGTGACGTTGAGGTCCGAGGGATCGCTTCCCATGATATCGTCCTCATCGCTGTCTGAGAAGTCATCCTCATCGTCTGAAGGCTGGGGCGCAGATTTCTTTGCAGATTTCTTTACAGGTTTGCCGTTGATCGCAGTCTTAGTGGTCTTGGTGACGATGGTCTTTTTGACTGGCTTCACAGCCGGTGCTGCTTTCGCCTTTGCCTCCCTCGCCGCCGTCCTGCTCCTTTTCTTGCGCTCTACTTCCTGTGCAGCTGGCGCGTCCTTGCGTTTCCTTGTAACGAGCGACTCGTCCAATGGCTCGGGCATGCCCTGCTTCTTCATGCGACGTCCTACACCCATGGCGACAGGATTCTCTTGATAGTTAATTGAGTGACTTATTGGGGTAGGAGAGAGGTATGCTCTCGATGTCTGCGCGAGCCTTCCATCAACTTGCGAACTTTCGGGCGAGCATTTTTTTTAGCGGGTAGCAACCTTGGTTGGGCTTAGCCTCTTCCGCGGCAAAATCGGGCGCCGCTTCCCCCGCCACGTCTCGAACATCGTCATTGCTGCAACGTTCTTGTTATTCATCTGCGCATCACTAGAACTTATATCAAAAGCATTGGCAGTCCTGCATTCTGAAGTGCAACACCAAAAAGTGCTGGATCTTGAGCACCAACTGCAATACTGCCCATCATGTCGGAAATAATGTTCTGCAAGTCGTTCCTCAGCGCACTCGATGCCCGCCCGGCGAAGCTCTCTTCAGATCACATAGCAGATGCGCGACAGTATCCTGCCCAAGGCGCTGTAAGCCTCTTTCTCTCTCAAAATACAGTCACAGATGAGGCCTTTCGTTTTGTTATATTCATACTGGTAGCTGACATGTTTACAGTATATACTCCCCCGCCTACCCCATCCACCCCACCCCCAGCGACCCAAGCGCAAGGCCACAGACCTCTCCAGTGATAATTCCACCACCCTCTCCATAACCCTCAAGCCCATGAAGCCGAGCACCCCCACTATTCCTCTCTCCAACATCGAGCCCAGCAAAACCTCCATCTTCGACCTAAAACAGCAGTACGCGACACAAAGTTCCATACCAGCGGCCAAGATCAAGATTCTGTACAAGAAGAAACCAGTCATGGACTCGAAAACGGTGGCAGAGGTTGTAGGCGCTGATGCGGCGGGTGAGGTCGAGTTTGGGGTCATGGTTATGGGGGGTGGAGTTGCGTCGCCGGCTGTCGGGGGTACACCGGTACAGAGCCCGCCTGCGGTGGCGCCGAGCGAGGCAGACAAGGGATTGGCGGGTGATGTTGCGGCGGCAGCGGCTTCGACGAGCAGTGGGCCTGTAGCGGCGGGACCGAGTGGAAAGGAGCTTGTTGCGACGGACGAGTTTTGGTCAGATCTTAACAATTTTGTGCTGCAGAGGATCAAAGATGAGGTGGAGAGTGAACGACTGCTAGGGCTGTTCAAGAAAACCTGGGAACAAAATAAGTAACTAGACCGCACCTCCACATCGGACGGGTAAATCAGGTCACGCCACATGATAATTTTGAGATAGGAGCAATGTTCCTCAGTGACAATTTCACCAGATCTATATCGACTCTTATAAACACACAGCCTGATAGTGCAAGAACAAACTAGCGTTGCCACGCTGGGATATGCGAGACTTGCTTTCTGACCACCAAAGTGTGTCCAAGCTTCATGCTTCCATTTGGCCTCGTATCATTATGTCGTTGGTCGCCAAATCAATAACATCTGCATGCATGCTTGCTATCGCGAAATCAACGGAAGGGACAAACCGCTTAGCGGCCCTTGGAGACACGGTTCTTGATGTTCTCAAACTCGATATCGTCGGCGTCGTTGGCTTGGATATCGGCAGCAAGGCCGTTGAGAGCGCGCTTGATGGCTTCCTTGGAGGACGAGTACATCATGCGGGGCTATCACATGTACGATTAGCAAATCGATCTTGCCCCCCTTCACCGCCATTCCACGGCACTTTTCTGCAACTCACATATTGCGATGCATCGTCTGGCGTCCAGCTGATGAACGTGATTTTGCTCCTGCTTCCCTCGCCACTCTCAAGGTCGTACTCGACATCGAAGACAGCGTAACGGCCACCAATACCCTCCTTGCCACGGCGGTCCTTGCTCTTTGCATTTAGGAGCTTCTCACGGAAAACATCGAAGTTGGCCTCCTTGGAGGTCTCCTCGACAACGATCTCTTTCCAGTCGTCACTGATCTTGTAAATGATCCACTTGATGTCCTTTCCAAGCTTCAGTTCGTTGAAGGCTTGGATGCACTCGGGCGCGACAGAGACACTGGGTTGCATTAGTGTGCGTGTACAGGGAACTTATATACGCGGGTCGAATAGGAAAGTCGTCGTAGAGGAGAGGGATGAGGGCGCGCCCCACGAGGGTCGTCGTCATGTTTTCTAGTGCGCTACGTACCCAGATTGAGCCTACAACATGCAAAGTCAGTATTGGCTTCGAGAAACGGGCATATCTCTGAGAAGACTCACCATGATTTACTGTGTGTGTTGTAGAGGATGCTAGGGAAGCAACAAGGCACCAGGAGCTTTATGAGCACTGTGATGCCTGTCAGCGTCGTCGTCATCAGTTGCGACCGCAGCAGCGCAAAGCGTTGTCGCATCATTGATTGCTTGCAAGCAAATGGCTTAGCTTACATCGTTATCGAAAACCGATCGTCAAGTGTGTATGGATGCGGATGTGCAGGAGATGGGTGGGCTGAGGTGGAGGGGAGGAGTGATGTTGCTGAGGGAGCTGGGGGCGGTGGTTGTGTGTTTTTGGTTGTTGTTTGTTTTTT